CCATCATCTGATCCTGTCAAGCACCAACTTCCGACAGCTCTCGACGGACGGCAACGTGGTGCTCCAGTTCAACTGGTACGCTAACTCAAATCGACCACATAGCAGTAAGTTACCGTTGGCGTACGTCAGTGTAAAATTCCACGTCCTATTGAACCGACTGCGTTGAGTCTCATCACGCATTAGTTTTGATGCAGTTCACTCTCCGATTGGCTGACCGGCGACAAATTCAACAAACTCGCACAACTCATCATCGACTATCTGTTCTAGCAGTTCGTGTGCGCTATGAATCAGAGATAGTGCGTGAGCTAAACGCGCCTCAACGTGATGTAGATGAGCAGTAGGGTCAGATTAAGGGAGCAATGCATTCTGCAGCGGATGTTGCTTGTGGATCTGAGTCTCAAACCCGTCGGAGGTATTGGATATCTCAGGAGTTAGTAGTTTGATGGAGAAAANGAGTTAGGTGGCAGCTACGTCAGCTCACGAAGAGCCTCAAGAAGGACTGTGAGAACTGGTGGGCAACAATAGCTACTGAAATGGAGGTAGCGGCTAAATCAGGGAATAGTCAAAGACTGTTCTGACTGATAAGCAATACGGGAGGTCAGTGAACCAGTCAGTGAAACAGTCTGCGATAAGAGGGGACAAGCTATTCACAATAAGGATCAACGACTCGATCGCCGGGCAGATACTTCAGCGAACAGTTCAGTTGGCCTAGTGTTAACCAGGCTGTTTCATGTCCAACTGAAGCTCCGTGAGCAATGTCATACGATCCTCTAGCAGAAGCAGAAGTTCGGTCTTGCATTCAAGCTCTGAAGCGAGGAAAGGTAGCAGGACCGGATGAGCTCTCCCACTCTTTTCAAGATGGGGGGTGGTAACTTCGTAAGCTCTATTACTACCCCACTGCGCAACATTTTGACGCAAGAACACATTCCTTCATCTTGAGGCGAGTCACTGATCGTTCCCATTTTCAAGAAAGGGTCTCGTAACGAATGCGAAAACCACCGCGGAATCAGTTTGATCCCGATCGTCACCAAAGTACTAGCTTCGGTTATACTTCGACGACTGGCGCCTTTAAGAGAGATCAACATCCGTGAACAGCAAGCCGGATTCCGGCCTGGCCATGGATGTATTGATCAAATTTTTACGTTGCGTCAGATCCTTGAGCTGCGTCACACCCACTGTCGGCCAACGATCGCAGTATTCCTTGACCTGAAAGAAGCCTTCGACTCAGTTGACCGCGAAGCTCTGATGGGCTCCCTTCTACGAAAAGGAATGCCCCAGAAGTATGTTTACCTACTGAGGTCACTGTACTCACAGACCTCCGGTCGTGTGAGGGTTAACAACAATCTAAGTAGGCCATTTGTCACCAGCAGCGGTGTTCGTCAAGGATGCCCTCTTTCGCCGTTCCTGTTCAATTTTGTCGTAGACGAAATACTGAAGAATGCACTAAGGGTATGCCAAAACGTAGGTGTTGAATGGGCAGGTGGAGAAAAGCCGTGCGATTTAGAGTACGCCGGTGACATCGTCTGCCTGTTAGAATGTGACCAAAGACGATAGTGCAGCAAAGGAGATAACCGCCCGCATTTCCAAGGCTTAAGCAGTATACGCAGGACTGAAACAGCTTTGGCGTAGACGCGATATTTCACTAACATTGAAAGGTCGTGTATAATGTGCTAGCTTTCGCTCAGTCCTGCTTTATGGTTGAGACCCTGAATTTGCGTGTAGAAGATATCTGTGGACTAGAAGTTTTCGACTATCGGTGTTTACGTAGTTTAGCCCACGTTGGATGGAGCGAACGGGTTAGTAACGCGAGGTAAGTCGTCGTGTGTTTGGGAGTCTGTCAGGTATAAACCTGTTGGCACACCGAATTCAGATTAGTAGACTTCGCTTGCTAGGGCAAGTATTGCGTATGCCAAGCCATCATCCGCCACACCGCACTTTATTCACTGTAGCTAATCCGGGTTGGAGAAAACGGATGACGTGGAGACGATGTATGAGGAAATGCCATTAGGTAGAGTAGGTGTCTCTCGCCTTCCAGGTTGGGGTCCGAAAGACTCCACAACTGGTTGGCTGGAGACATTGAAGGATATGGCAGCGAACTGACAGCAGTGGCGTTTTTGTTGTCATTTCCTATCAGGTCAGAATGCTTCAAACGGTATGTATGCAGAGTTCGATTGCGTACTTTGTGTTGACCACAGAGTTTCACCTTCTTCCTCCTCCCTCAAAATAGGTCCAATACCTGTCCACCTTGAATTTTACCACTAACCTTATGTGCATGCAACGATCAGTGAAGTTCGCCCCACTGTATTTCGCTGTACGATGATGATGATGACAAAGGTAACAACTGTGTTTTAACATAGGACTCATCCAATTAGCAGTGTAGACTATGAAAGAGGGTAGCACTTTTAATCAGAATGGCGTAACGCCTTCAGGGGTTAAGAAAAAAGAAAACAACCATCAACTAATGATACATAATAATTGTTTTGACTTTCTTTGTTGTCTACTGAGCATACAAATGTAGAACCTATTTTCAGGAAAGAGGGCGCGACTATACAGAGGCTGTACGGGGAAATAAAAAGGGGGAGATGGGCGGACTCAGAACAACTGAGCCACTATTTTCACGACCTTAAACACATTCGACCACAGCCGTGATAAACTGTTCAGTTACTCTGAATTCACGGAGGGCTGCGCTTCTATGTGGGGCGGTATATATATATATATATTGTATATATATATATATAACACCAATCCTCACAGATACGGCGCCAAATAACCATGGGTGGACGGAAAAAATATAGGTACAAAGGCGGGGAAAATAAAATGGTCAACTTCAGGGAGTAACAAATTTTTGTTTGTTTACTGCACGCCATTTTGAGGTTTTTTGCTTTTGTTTATTTTTGGGATTGCATACAAGAGAGGATGTATTCGCGCCACTGACTTCTGTTCGATGCCATATCCAGCAGTGTCTCCAGCCAAAGACAATCTGAATTTTTGGGGCCCCAGCCGGGGAACCGTGAAACCCCAACGGAAGCCAGATCCGAGCACAATCTCTTTAACCCTCTGCGCCACGTCATAGCCCGCCCACATCGCTGTTTCTTTCAGCTTGGACTGATGTCCGCGAATAGTGCACGGTGTCGCAGACGGTACTCGTAGGACGTGCCCTAGCCACCTAGGACGATGCTGTGGAATTATTTTGCCAAAAGGAAGACTATATGGTTCTAGCACCCGTCGTCTGACCTCAGCGTTACTCACGCGATGCTCCCACCATACGCGGGGGATGTTGCGCAGACAACGGTTGTCGAAGACTGATAGTCCCTGAACGTGGTCTGCTCGCAGCCATAGAGCAACACGGTGCGTACCGTTGCGCAATACACACGCCCTTTCAGTGAAAGAGATGTCGTGCCGGCGCCAGAGATACCGCAGATTAGTAAGCGCTAATCTAGCTTTGATCACGCGTTGAAAGATTTCACCCACACCTCCGCCAGCCGTTATGCAACTCCCAAGGTAGACAAAGCTTTCGAATACTCTGTGTCATTATCCAACGAAAGTGCAAGTGGGGATAACATAGAACACAACACTGTCCTCTTCGATTGCCGGGTTCGAGCAACGGATGCTACCGGATACGGCTCTGAGATGATCACAATTAGGTATAAAGTAGATACCCATAGTTTCCGACTTTCAAAAATATAAAAAGGTTCAAAAATTGAATAGTAGCATTGCTTATATCTTTGCCGAATAAACTCCGATCGTTTCCTCCGATTTATCCTGCACTATATGCTATGATGATAAATCACCAGTGACTGATAAACAAACATCTAACGGGTGGAAATCATTCTACCTCGGGTCTATCATTTTATCGGACGCCAGGATGCATCAATTTCTGATAACTAAAAGCAATATAATCTTCACGAGACATACCCGTCTGCAATGTTGCACCATCTTCCACAAGATTTTCTGCAATTATTGCACCAATTTTATCTTCAACATCAGAGGCTTCTCGAGGACTCATCTCATGACAAGGTTGCGAACCAGTGCGTAGAACACTCAAATTACTGAAGTGAACGCTTGCATCACCTCGAGTCAACGGGAGCTGGTCGTTTACCTGAGCTACAATCCAAGATTTACCAGCACTAAAACCACAACCTACCAACAATGTGTGTTGCATTTTGGATGGCAGCGCGGGTTACATCAACGCTGGGACCGAGAGAACAGAATCCATGCTTGTCGGGAGGAGTGACGTTGATTAGAGCCAAATCGAGCTGTAAATGTTTGCGACGGAAGAGGAGAGGTATCTCGCTTAGGAATATGGGAGTGAAGTCAGCTTTTCCCTCACTAATAGCTTTGCGGCAGTTGCTACCTGTAAGTATAAACAAAACTGAATGGAAAAAAAACGTACCAATGAACAGCGAAGTCGATCGGAAATGTTCTTCGGCTTCGTGGAAAGGATACGGTCCTTCCGTGTGGATGTGGATCAATTTGATATTCTTCAGGTTTTTAGCCAAAACATAATCATACAGTTCCTTGATCAACAGTGAGGGTGTTGCAGCGCCACCCTGGATGAAAACATTAGCACCGTCTTTCAGAAAACCAAATGCTTCCTCCCCGTTAGAAGCCCATTTGGGAAAACGTCCAGGCACAGGAGAAAACGGCTCTTGAGGACCAGAAATGTAGTACTGGAATTGGTTGCTAACATGAAACGCCCGCCTTGCTTCCCGTACAATGGGAGTGGCAAATCTGCAGCGAAAAGCTAACTGATACATGTAAACTGAACTGAGACGAAAATAACGACTCCCACGAGGATGGACGTTGAGCGCACCGGACGACCTGAAACAAACAGAAGCCATGAAAATTGGAAATAAACGGGGCAAGAACTTTTGTGTCTGTTGCGATGAAGCTTCCTAAGGTTATAGATAAGTGAATGTTGCTTAAACACGAGACCGGCTTCAAGCAAGTATGCAGTATATACTGCACACATGGAAAGATGAATCAGAGACCACCTTGATACTTTTAAATGTCGGACGGTAAATATCACAATTGAATGGTATCACATGTTATTTACGTGCTGGGAGCTAAGAAACTTCCAGAGAACGGTGCCGATGGTGGCCACAGCATTCTATCGTAAAGCCTAAGCCCACCCAAGCAGAATTGGCACCTCGCCATCAGGTTTATTACCGTGAGCTGTACACTAGTTCTTAGCACGCATTCTCGCGTGGGGTTAATGCCAACATGGCGGAGACAGTCAATATTGCAGCCGTTCTACCTGAAGGCCAAAGAAACCCCACAACGGATCGACCAACTCCGTCATGATGGAGACCGAACCATCAGTAACGAAAGAGTGACCAGCATTTGGCTGACCACCATATTCTGAAGTTATCCTTTGACCGGTTAGAGTGACCTCGGAAAGACTCCACCCAGTTGTTTGCAACTGCCAGTACATTACCAACGGAAAACCATTGTCCTTGAATTTGAGGAAATATATAATACTTACTGAGATGCTTATTTGACGGAGTTTAGCTTATAAGTACAACCAACGGGAGCGCCTACCTGTCGTGAAACAAACGAGGCGACGGACACCAGGCAGACGCAGCGACAACGAGCGACTAGACCGAACCCCGCGGCAATGGTGAGTGACGCAAATCACACAGTAAAAGTACTTCAGTGAGTATTGAAGTCGTGGAGTGATTCACGGGTTCTAGGATATTTCCCAAATTTCCCGGGCCCTTGAAAGGTGTCTGTTCTTTTTTCTCGTGGAAATGATTCTGAAACCTTTGCGACCTGAAC